AGAGCCGCTCCGGTAGACCTAGTTGCCTCTCCAGAAACCTCTCACTGCCAGTTGCTCTTCACCCTGACCGAGGGAACACTCGGCACGGACGCACTGGCACACAGCTGGCCACGGGGCCTTCGCAGCCATCACTTCAGAGCACCGTCTACGAGACACGCCTACGCTTGAAGTGGAACCTGTTCGTTGAGTGGTGTTCTTCTCGCCAAGAAGACCCCCGAAGATGCCCGATCGGAGTTGTGCTGTCCTTTTTGCAGCAAGGGTTGGAGCGAAGGCTGTCTCCCTCCACCCTTAAAGTTTATGTCGCTGCAAACGCTGCTAACCACGACCCCGTAGAAGGAGGTCGTTGAGGAAGCATGACCTGGTCGTCAGGTTCCTTAAGGGGGCGAGAAGGTTAAATCCTCCACGGCCCCCCTCTATTCCCTCGTGGGACCTGACTCTGGTGCTCACGGCACTACAGCAGGGCCCATTTGAGCCTTTTTGCAGGCGGTTGAGCTGAAGTTCCTTTCAATGAAGACTTTGCTCCTGCTAGCATTGGCCTCCAGCAAGAGGGTAGGGGACCTGCACGAATTTTCAGTCAACGATTCGTGCCTAGAGTTCGGGCCGGCTGATTCCCGACGTGATGTCTCCGTTCCCTCCTTCAGGGAACGAGGGTTACATACGTAACCGAGACGTTCTGACATTATTGACTATAAAAATGATATAGCTCATTTAACACACACTGATTCCTTTAACAACACGGCCTGTCATTACACTGTATGGGGGGACTTGTAACACACGGGGACCTGCAATTGAAAAGCCTGTTACAGGCTTTCATCAGAATACAAACAGTAAATATATTATGAAACAGTAAAAAAAAAAAAAAAGAGTTAACTTAAAAATACCAAAACCAATGTTATGACCAACAGGAATGAAAATAAATATAAAACTTATGTCCTGATCTGACATTTATTCAAACAAACAAACAAAAAAACAGCCCTGTCCTGAAAATACAGTAAAATGATTGTGTTCAAATCTGCCTTCGTTATATAGTGACTCGTGTCTTTATGTATGTTAGTGTGGTTCTGTTAACCTATTCATCCAACAAATATTACAAAAATAATAATGATGATACTGGAATTTAATAATAAAAAAAATATTTTAAGAAAGTTTTGAACCTGATGTTTGAAACCAACAAATTGGTGCTTAATAAAATGAGCATTTGTTAAATAAGAATTTTGAGTCAAAACTTTTTAGTTAATGAAATCTTAGTTACTTTTTAATATTTTATCGTTACTCTATGCTGACGTCTCCCTGAGACAAAAATAAAGGTTTCAAATAAAAAAATTCCCCCCCCAAAAAAAGGTTTCAAAGGGGAGTTTTGCAGCGATGCAATAGACCATTTTGGGTCTCCAAAGAACCTTTCAGTCAAAAGTTCTTAATATAACCTATTTTTTTCTTAGTTTTAAAAACACTTTAATGATCTAAAGAAGCATTTTCCACTATAAAGAACCTTTTGTGGAATGCAGAGGTTCCATGGATGTTAAATGTTCTTCATGGAAACTGAAAAAAATAACTTTTAAAGCACCTATTTTCAAGAACTCATAACAAAACCAGTAGCCGTGGTCTCCCCTATAATTTGGCTATTTATCTATATATTCTCTTATGTCTATATTCTATTATGCCCAAAAATGACAGCAGAAGTACAGTTGTAGTCTCCACTGTAAAAGTACATGTGTTGCCTTTAGGAGATATTTATGCCTGGTCAGACTCTTGAATGACAAATGAATTTAGATGTCCCTATAAAGTAAATTTTTAAGTTAACTGACAAAACATGAGTTACAGTGATTATTTTCACATGATTTTCAGTCATTATGTTGATAGAAAATAACACAATGTGCATGAGACCAAAGGTTAATGTGGATTACTATCCTTAATAAAATGTTAATCATATTGTAACATTCGATCTCAACAACAAAACACATTAAGGCCAACAGTAAAATCCCTAAAACTAAGGGGAACAGATCCATTTCACGCTAGTCTACTAACATATCTATATGAAATGAAAAACTTACCAGTGAGTGTACCAAAGCCACAGAAGAATAAAAATAAGAGACTGTATTTGCCACTCATTGCTCTTCTGAAAACAGCAAATGTTCCAGAACCTTTTGACAATCAATTTGAGGAAACAGAAAGAATTTCCTGTTTGCGAACAGAGTTGGCGGTTACGCAGACAAAACCATGACCTAAAGATGTCAGTTGTGTAGTTGGAGGCAGAAATTGACATTGTGCATCACGGGTGTGGAAGGATCTATAAGGATCTATTTATCTATAAATTGGCCAGCTATTTTTATCTCAATCCTGCGGACTAGAAAGCTGGCAAGCACTGATTTAAAAAAATATTTTATGTGATTTAGGTAGATAGAAAAAGTATATAGAAAGTCTTGCTCTGAGTGCGATACAAATAATCCTAAATACTGGATCGATCCAGGACACTGTTTTTCATCTGGTGGGTCACGACCTAAAAATGACTTCAGTTCGAACTGTGGGAGGAAACATCAATGGCTGTGTGTCAAACTCCACAGTATATTTTGGTAAAAAAATTAATCTGTCATTTTTCAAAATGGCAAAGTACAGTATTTAGCCCAGTGTGTTTATGCTGGTCTGATGCATCACACTTTCTGTGTGAGTCTACGTCTTGCTATTGATTTTACATATTTCTGGACATTCTATATAAGACGAAATAAATTAATAAAACAGTAAATCAATAGCCTTATAAGTATAATAAAATCCTTGCCATTTATATGTCAGTAATGTTGTGGTTTCTAAAATAATTGCATGACAATTTAAATTTCATACAATACTGCCATCTTCTGGACAACTTCCCTTTTAAAATGATTTTATACAGTACCATCAACATCAACAGTAAAGAGCAGAACAAAAGATTCACCTTTGTTATGGGTGTTGATGGATATTGATTATTATATTAATATTAATACTGTTAAAGCATTGCATTTTTGCTATAATGGTTCTTTTTACATAGCCTCACTTACAAAAAAAAACAGTTTCATTGTAGAATATTGGTATCAGATTGTAATTTGGTACTTCATGCACCTTGGTATTTACATAGTAATCCAAGGTACTTCCACGATTACCACAATACTATCATGGTACATGCCAAAACATGTCCAAACTGTTTGTTTTTTTTGCAAGGTGTGTTTGATTTCATTTTGTTTTCTCTGTGAATTGATCATTCATACTTTTTTTTCCCATTGTTTACACAGCGGGTCCCCACACCTGTGATAAAAACAGGGGAAGATTAAAGTTAACCCAGCTGCTGTGTTTTTAAGATGAGTACAGTAAACAAACAAACAAAAAAAATCATTCAGTTAAATACCCCAGAAAACCACATAAAGATCAGGATATTAAGCGGATCTTGGTTAGATCTGTTTTCTAGATCTGTCTGGTGCCGCCTAAAAAAAGAGATTTGACAAATGCATTATCTAACAAAGTCAAAATAAATAAAAATAAATGATGCATTAAATGTTTAGTTTATTATCAGAACCTGCCTGGTACTCCACCTTTTTTGTGGGTGAAAGCACCCCTCAACATGTTGTCTCGGTTCGATTGAATCGAACTCAAATTCGTTTCCCCCCTTGGTGCAGATCTTTTTGGCAGGTGTGAATACAGCAATCGCACTCGAGTGCGGACCAAACAACCGCACCTAGACCCAGCTGAAGAGGTGGTCTTGGTCCGGTTCCAAATTAACTCTGGTACGTTTGAGAATTTCTGTCCAATGAATGGATGACCTTAGCACACGTGTGGTTTTGTTTACAATTTCTGGTTCACTTGCAAAAAAAGGCAGTGTGAAAGCGAACCACACCAAACAAAAAAAAAATCAACATTGTACAACATATAAAAATGACGCGCATATTGAGGAAACGATCGTTTTCAAGCGAAAGTCAAGTAAAAGACCGCTTCTTAAACCAGAGAAGGTGAACATGCTGGTATTCTTGTGGGGGGAAAAAACATACAAGCACTGTCACCGTTAGTTTTACTTTTCTTTTTGTTTTCATTTTTGAAAAACTTGTTATCTTTGCCGTTTACCTCACATTATACTATGGAGGCTCTCTTTTATTTATTTATTTGATTCCTCAGTGTTTGCTAAACGTTCTGTAATTTATTACTCGGTATATACTGTAATACAGCATGTGTTGTGTCTAAATATAGCCTAGACGTCTAGGCTAAAATGAGGCTAAATTTGGGCTGTCAGTGAAAATCTAATAGACGTCTAATCATAGCCCATTTATAGACTAGTCATCAATTAGACGGCTATTAAACGATTACATATATACGTCTAATAGACGGTGAATATGGGTCTAGGCTAAAAGAAGGCTAAATTTGGTCTGTCAGTGAAAATCTAATAGACTTCTAATCATAGCCCAAGAATAGACTAGTCATCAATTAGACCGCTATTAAGCGACTACATATACGTCTAATAGACACCAAAATGGCAATCCATACATACAGCTTTTATTAAGAAAAATAAAATTTTTGACAACTTAAGACAATACAAAATGATATAAATACAAAAGAATTAATGACAAAATAAAATGTTATAAATACAATACACTTAAATATAAATATTATGATAAAAAATTCTGGAGTTTTTAACAACTTAAGATAATAAAAATATAAAAATTAAAAAAACAAAACAAATCTAATACAAATCAAGAGCATGTTATCACACTTAACATTAAAACATTACGGATAAATTACATAAAAAAAGATTAACCTTTTTGCTGGTTTACTTTTAACAAATAAAACAACCAACAGTGAACTTAAAATAAATGATTAATTATCGGTTCTATTTCTTGTTTAAAATGCCTCCCAACTGCATTCCTCAAGTCCAACTCGGTTGCTGCCAGGAAGTTGGTCATCACAGCATCTGCCAAATAAGAAAGAAAAAAAAAGCACAAGAAAAGCTTGACATAATTTCTTACTTTAATTACACTAATTGTGACATGGAGTCATTCTCTTTTGCTTGGATGCCAACTAAAAACAAAAACGAGATATATATAGTGTATCACCATTCAGTGTGTTAAAAAGAGAATCGCTCTGGTAAATGTTGTGTGTTTTATACACATACCTCTGATGACCGAGAACAGAGCAGTCTTTTCAAATGCCTCTTTCTGCAGCGGACCACCCCCCTTCATGTTGAATTTGGACATGAGGGAATTTTTTTAAAACCCTAAAATATAATACAGATTGAGGTGGTTAACAATTGCGGACAAAGTTTGACATTTCAAAATGACCAGTAAAGGAATTCTTTTTTAAATTTCTGATTTGCGTTGTAACTTATTGAGTATTGACACCACAATGTTTGATTAATGTGGCAAACTTTACCTGTCCAGCATCCTTCTGGCACTGTCTTTGAGGTTTCTTCCTTTAATTCTGCACAACTTTGACACCCGAATAACACACGCCAATGTCAGGCAGGTAGTATTATATGCATCCGTGTACACGTGTTTACCAATCTTAAACACTGATGCCCATTGACCTGCAAGTTTTCCATCCCTAACCCTATAAAACTCTTTATTCCAACAGATTAAGTTTTTCCCTATTAGTGCCCCCCACAATCTGTCTCTGCCTCCAAATTTGACTGGCACAACTGACTTCATAACAACACAGTGATAGCTGCTGTAACTAAACAGTAGCCCAGTACACACATTAACCTCAAATGTACACGGAATAATAAATTCACCCCCTACCGTTTTATTACATTATGTTTTCTGTTTGTACTGTTTAGGTTTTAATGCTGCATTGCACATCTGAGCTATTTGCACTTATTATTTGTATTCTAAGCTTTACTATCAATTTGGAAGTTTCACGAGGAAATGTTGTTTTGGAGAGGGTTTTTAAATGTTTTTTTATCATTGCTGCCAGGATCTTTTCCAGATGTTGAAACTCCTCCTCAGTTTCTCCAATTATTCTAAGTGTGTTCACTGTATAAATTAATATGGATGAATCTTTGTCAAAGCTGTGTTTGTTCTGTTCTTTGCTCTTCTTTTTTACTTATTCTTCGTTTTAAAATCGATTGAGTTTGTAAACACAATACAAATGATACAACTTTTACTCTATAAAATTGAGCAATTAATCCTCTGAACACATGCGTGCTGAACCGTGGGCCTAGTCACAGATCACTATCAACTATGATCTGATCCCTTCACTAAAATGTCACGGTTCCTAAACATGAAAACAAATAATATAGATAAATAATGAACATGTCAAAACGAAAACACAGATACTTACAAGACCAAGTAGGAATGTCCTTCATCGTTTGTTGTTTGCCCACTGCTCTCCGACAAGTAAACTTAGTGCTAGCTCATGTAAAAAAAATTCAAAACACAACACTGATCTCTAACTCTCATGTCTGGCATTGCCAGTAGTCATGTCTCATGTAGGGCTACAATTGCCATCTAGCGGTTGGGAATTGTAATTGCATTTTTATTTATAAAATGAAAGACAGCCGAACGTCAATAATATCATATAATGTGTATGAATGTAACATTTAACAGCTTGAGGGATGCATGACATCATATGCAAGTAAACTTTTGAAACATTTAAATTAGCATTATTTTTGGCATAATAAATAATGCTATATTTAATAATCACACTTTTACATGATTGTAAAGCGCTTTGGGTGTACAATAATACACAATAAAGCGCTATATAAATGCATCATTCATTCATTCATTCATTAATAATGCTGTAAAATAATTAAATAAAATATAAAACCACAGACCACAGATTGCCTCGATTTCGCCAGGTGGGCTAAAAGCAGACTACACGTTACAGTGATTACTGTCAGACTTTCAGAATCCTTCTTCACTTGAATTAAGATTAGGCCTATAATAATTTAATTGTAAAGCACAACCACCTCAAAATCGGACTTTAGCAGCTCTTTTTACTTTGAGATCTTTATGAGTTAAATACAGATGTAAAATCATAAGATATAGTTTAATAGTTATGATACTGTTTTTGAAATCAAATCTTCGCATAGCTAGGAAACACTGGCATCTAACAACGCCTTGAAAAAAAACAGTTCATCTTAAAAAATAAAATAAAATAAAATAATATAC